CCAAATGGGCAGCCAACAGACAGCAACCAAAACCGGCGCACGAATATGTGTGGTTAATGGTTGTACAAACGGATCTGAAGTGAGCTTCCCTTCTTTGTGGGTCGATTTGGAGATAATAGCTATCAATTTCGAGACAGAAATTGTCCTATGGTAACATGCGCAAACCGAAGAAATGTTTGCGTGTTTTCGTTTTGTATCAGTGTTTGTACAGTCTCCCTTTCTCTCTCCCTCCGTTGGGTGCATTCATGTATCTGTACAACTGTGTCTACTGCAAGGAAGAAGATCCTATTTAACAGCCTGTTCTGTGTCTCGTAATCAATGTCTATACTGCAGTTGAGTCATTTGCTGTTCTTTTTTGTGTTGTCACATCAGCTTTGATTTTTTTTTGTCACATGTTACAAACACCGTTTATTCGTCACGTGGTCGGTGCACTTGTGATCACTACCCGGTGATCAATGAAAGAAACTGTAATGAACACTACCATCACATTCAATTTACCCTTGTTTTCTTATTCTTAATCTTGCGACGCGTGGAATCTGACCACAAGTCATATCGAACACTTCACTGGTCGGCATCCGCTGTATCTGACACGGCACGTCAAATTTCACAGTTCAGTTCTGGATGTACTATCATTTTTTATCTGTTTGGACGACTAACCTCTTCACGCGATCAGGGACCACATGCGGTGTGGTTTGTGGAGTCCAAGGGTTCATTGTAATTGTATTGTTCAGATGACCTGACTTAAACTCGGACCAAAGGTGTAGTTTTCGTTCGCAATTTTATTCTACAGGTCCCATCTTAGTGCTTTCTGACATTCATTGGTTTTCAGCGTTTGCTTCCGCTCACGATTGATAATCTGGTTGAAAGACTGCATTTTTTATAACCGAACAATTGTCGGGTGATTGCAACCCAAACAAGGCACTTTGGCAAACGCCTATCAGTCGAAAAGATCACCAAAACGAATGAGTCTATAATAAAAACTGAGTTAGCTTGTATGCACCTGAGCCAGTGCGTAGGCCAGGGGTATGTCAAAAGTATCCGAAGCGCTTATCGGCATTCGTTATCGAGCCCACACGGCCTAGCTTCGGTCAGGGCCTAAAGAACCAGGAGTGGGGCGGGGTGCAAATGTTTACACAAGACACAAGTTTTCTACGTTTCGATAAGAAGTCTTCAAATCTGTGAATCGTGCTTGACTATATCCGGATTAGTCGCCCTCCATCCTATTGCGAGACAGACCTCTTCTGTAAACAAAATCCGTTTTGGTTGAGTCCGCAGTATGATCGCACATCGGTGATCCGTTACTTACGTCTCGCAAACTAAACGGAACCGAATGAGTAGGTTGTGATTACGTGGGATCAGGTTTATCAGTTGTGGCATTTTAGTGCATCTCAATCGGCCAGTACTGTACCTGTGGTGGCATCACGAATTTATGCTGTTCTGTGAATAATCTTTTAAGTCTACTGGGTTTCCTCTGCCGCCTATATTAAATTTTCGGTTAGTTGATAGAGTACCGAAGATGGATATACTCATTATTCTTGCAACCCCAATCTGTATGAATTCTCTATCCTCCCCCTGAATTTGCTCTCGGTGTTTCAGTCTTCATTCTGTTCTTTTATCCAAATGAGCGGCCAAAGGACAGCCGGCAAAATCCACGCATGAAAGTGCACGGTTAATGGTTGTAAAAACTGAACTGAACTGCTGTTTTTGTTAGGTGGTGCTGCTAAATTCACCTCTCTCTCTCTCTCTACACGGGTGAAATTTATTACACGTTTTTTTCTTTCCTCCATTCGGTCTCAAACTTGAACGGAGAAACCGATAACGATGTACAATCGTTCACCAGTGGGATTGTTTTAGGAATCGCATTGAACTTGATGATTCGCAGTAGCCCAGTGGTTACATCACCAAATTATCACCCCGGAGGATGTGTGTCGAAGTCCCACCACCACCCCCTGACTTCGCCCATTATGTGTTGTATGAGAGCGCTTTAACTGTTCGCTTCCCCCCCTTTCCTTAAATTTGTATCATTATGTATCCAACAAAATGAAGTAAAAATGGTAAAGAAAAGAAGAAAAAGGCATTTGAATACTCCCACTCAACCCCAAAACGTGTGTTGCAATACAGGGTTGGTGTACACATGATTTCATTCGTCAGTTTGGACGAGAAGCATTTGATTTGTGCTCTGCACCGTTCACAATAACTCCTTTGCTCCGAGTCTCTGTGTGTTCAGTATCGATCGGCCACTAGCTTTCTCGTTTATTAATTTCAGGAATTTATTTCGATATCTTTTTCGTGCACTCCCCCGATGCAGTTGAATTTTTCACAACTCTAACTGTTTCCACCGTAATCACATATAGTCTGTTAAGTTGTTTCGATTTTTTCGATCATCAAAAGTTCGAATCATTCCATTAGACCTCCAACAAACATTTCGAGTAGAATAATTATGTACTATTCAAAACATCAAGTTCATCACAGACCTGAAATACGCTTTCACACGAAGAACAGTCTCTTCCTTGTGCACACACTCTCTCATGGTCACCGTTGGTTGTGTGTGTATACACCTTCAATAAAACCCACAACCTTGGTCTTTCTGTTACATCTACTAGCTGATTTCGATTTAATTTTTGGGTACACAATGCCGCTTGCACCTTGTATTCCATTCGCATGACAGGCGAAAACAACCGATCGCGGCATTTTCCGTTGGGTTGCTTTCTCGGCGCTGTTTCTCTCTCCCTTTCTCGTGTCGGTATGGGTAAACATACGAACCATTTCTTCGATTTCTCTTTTCAACACTATCTGGCTACACAGATTTTAGAACTAAACTCGTTAATATGCATTTGTGTGTGTGTGTGTGTGTGTGTGCGTGTGTACGGTTGTTGCGTATGTTGCTCTGCTGCGCCTAACATTCCCTCCCCCCGCGCGTGTCGAGTTTACAACTTGATTGAATTTGTTGTGTTCACGATGCTGAAATTTGTTTCCTTCGCGATGTGGAGTGGTCGAAACATGCTTGTTTCTTTACTATTTATCTTTGTGATCAAGTATGCCACCCCAACTATGCGGGTGTTACTGTTTTTTATAGCAAGAAGAAGATCCAAGATTGTCCTTCCCTTGGAACAGCAGATGATTATCTTTTCCGGCATCAAGTAACGGACAATCTAATTTTGTTAAACAAACGTTCTGCGCGAAGAGACAGGAGAAAACAGCCTACCACACATCTGATTCATCGCTTTTGGCACTAAGTTCTAATGATCTGCTCCGTCCGTTTATCTTTCTAATCTTATTGTGTTTCTGTTCTTTCATTCCCATCTCCCGCACTTCCTCCGCTTCACCTTGCTTATCAGGTCTCCAATTTTCACTACCAAGCTCTCAATGATGCCACGTGGTCCAAAGACGGGCATTTATTGGTGGTTTGTTCCACAGATGGTTACTGTTCACTGATTCATTTCGCTCGAGGTGAATTGGGCACACCGTACCACGGCCCCGTTGGAGCTAACGCATTGGTCGGGGAAACAAAACAGACGAATCCCGTGGCGGACAAGTCAACAGACCCCAGTACTCCATCTGTCAGTGAGTCTGTCCCGGCCAGTTCTGATCCGGTACGAGCTTGCACCGACTCCCAACCGGTTGCAGTTCCATCCAAGCCCAACTCTTGCAGTGTGAAATCTATTGGCCCTGTCCCGAATATGTAAGTCACCGGTCTTTGGCGGAGTCACTTGGCAAGCAGGATCTCATGCAGTTCTCAGTGTGATTCCATTTCAGTTTGAGCAACCCTGCACTTTCGTCCGCCGGTTTTGGCTGCTGGTTTGGATGAACAGTAGGAGAAAGACAGAAAGTTGAAAGTTAAATAGAACATGCAGTGGAGTAATGGTATAAATAAATTAAGATGCACGAACGTCACTGTTTACGACACCCAGTCATATCACTCAGTGTATGTAACCATCGGTTACGATCAGCCCGAAATTTCCCATCCAGGGAGTCTAACCGAACCGGATGTGACCGAGTCTCCTGGTTAGGGTTTTCACACCCTCTTGCCAGGACTTATTTTGATCGCCCTTGGCTTTATTCCACCCACTACCTGCCTCGGCGAACATCGCTCTTCGTAGCAACCTATCTGATGACATGTGCAACACATGTCCCAACCAACGTAATCTTTGCAGGTCGACCACTTACTCCAGTGTTTCCTAAAACTCTGAGCCTAACCTCAGCATTGCTCGTCCGGCTGCCCCACTAGATTTATGTAATGCTGCGTAGACAGCGGTGTTCGAACACCGACGGTCTATCTTTATCCTGTTTTCTTAATGACCAAGTTTCTGCACCGTATAGCAGAACTGGCTGAACTGCTGCAGTCCTTAGTATGTTACCTATTGCGAGACAAGGTGAGTCATAAGGCGAACCTTGATCACTGATATCCACTCACTCCTTTTGCACTTGGTCGAATTCAAGCAAAGACGTTCCTTCCATTGCCCCCACATTTCTATCGCCCTTCAGCTTAAAGTAGGAGCCTTCAACTTACGCGATCTTCATCTACAACAATTTAATGTCGCATTGGAATATACCACTTTTTTACCCTATTTCGTCACCGCTATTCACTTTTTCTCGTTAACCATACGGTCAATATGGTTTCACAGATAGCCCTGTCCTCACTCAAGGATTGCGATGTCCGATATCCTCTCCGTTTTCAAGTTGTCTGGCCTGGAGTTAAATAAAGATTCCATTAGGGTATTTGCGTCCCTAGTTGGTTTGGCTTAGCATGTTTCACACCTTTGAAGTATATAAGGCTCTTACAGCTGTCAGTCTCATTGTTACTGAGATGATTGGCTGATAACAGGCTGAACGCTGGAAACATCTTGGATGTCATTTAAGACTATAAATCTTCCTCTTTTGTGTTGTCCTGGATTAATCCCCGGTGCTTCTGTAAATCTGTCTCTCAGAAACATATTTACTCTTGTAATAGGTACGCTCCTCATTATAGACCAATTAACCCTTATTTCTGAAACTCCTAGATAGTCCTCTCAAACGCCAAAGTCGAAATATCAGTTCCGTTACTGTTAATTTCCATCTACCGAAAAATTCCGATAAGTGATCTATAATTTCCATTTGCCACTGGTATCTTTAGTAATATAACTGATATTTCGGGATTCAAACCGGAGCCTTCAGTTATCCGAGGCGTGCCCATCAGGGTGGAGTCTTGTGTGAAATTCACCTCGATACGTAATACACGGACTATGAAAAGAGGTGGTATATGACTCAACCACGTGGTCTGTGGTTCAAACCGTGAAAATCTTTAAGTTTCCACATTTCTATCCGGTATCCGACACATGTACAATGTTTTCGAGACACTTCAGAAGTGTATGAATGTCTTGATGCCGCATTTCAAACAGCTTTTGTCCTCGTCATTCCGTCTTTATTATGCTCGAGGCAATTCCCGCACGATTCTCGTTGTTCTTTTCTCGTTAGCCCGAAACCGGAACAGTCGGCGCCGACGACAGATACAAACAAAAATGCTTCTGTCGATACAACGGTTCGCAAGCGTCGGGTCGCTCTAACCACATTAACCGTGGATACAGACGTACAGCAGACTAAGTCACACCTCGGCAGCACTGAAGTTACTCCGAACACCCCCGTGAGTGCCAGCATAAGCGCCTTGGAGCAGTCAACACCGGAGAGAAAGATACCAAACGACAACAGACCAGTAGTGACCCCAGTTAGTGTCCGAAAACGCCGAGTTGCATTTGTCACGCTCACTGACCAGATCGAGACCAGCTGTTCCTCATCCTCCGTGAACCAACCCACTGGTCAACTTCAGGGGTCCGAACACGTTAAACCGTCAATCATTCCCGAATAAGAGTTGATTTCGCGATCGTTGGCGTTTGCTATCCCTGGTACGTCACGGACTCCGTGCTCTTCATTCGGTTTTTCCCATCAGATTGATGTTGAAAGATTATGGGAAGAAAAAGTGTGGTTATCGTTGGTTGATTCGGTCTGCCCCGATACGCTACAAATAAAACAGGACAAGCAATCGATTTCAGTTGGTCGGGGGGGAGGGAGGGGTATTGAAGGCGTTTTGTTTGTT